TTTGGTTAAAATGCATCTTACTTTAATTTGTAGATAGTATTATGGCAAAATTCGTTTATTTAAATGAAGCTAGTTTTGCTTTTAATAATCAACAATTTTCTAATTATAATACTCTATGATAGGGAACCGACTTAAAATAAATCTAATATAAACGACACTTACTTTTATATAGTTGGATATTTAAATTTCACACAGGAAACTTTATACTAAAATTTACATTAGACGATTTTTCATATCCATTGTTAATTTTCCCTTTTTTGGTTGTATTGTTCCCTTGGCCCCTTTATACGGTTGTGTATTCCCCCCCCCCCCCCCCCCCCCCCCAGCTCTTTCACTATGCCCGTGTGTGTAGTGACGTTTTCGATTTAAATGAACATAATATATGTACATTTACTGGTAAATAATTAAGTCGGGGACATTGTTACCACAAATAATTTAAACTTTTTACTAAAAAAATCTTATTGATACAAAGATTTAGTTTTGAAGTTTGGCTGTTCCTGTATAAATCTTGTAAAAAACGGTACATCACATAATAATAATACGGTTATGGTGTGTATATAAACATCGACTTCCCTGGGTGCACACAAACTCAGAAAAATGATAAATAAAAAGAATAAATTGTACTCTAAAATGAAAAAGGACAAAAAGCATATAGTAAAATATAAAAAACTTAAACAACAAGTCCAACAAGAACAGAGACGTGCCTATTGTACATACATAGAAAAAATGATCCTTGACCTTCCAACAAATGACCCTGACCAAAGTTACAGTAACCAATCAAAACCCAAAAAACTCTTGTCTTATATTAAATCAATCAGAACTGACAACAGTGGAGTTGCTCCCCTAAATAAAGAGGGCCAATTAATAACTGATACAAAACAAAAAGCTAACATTTTAAATGAGCAGTTCCAATCAGTCTTTACCACCGAAACAGCAAGTAATATGCCTGATAAAGGGACAAGTCCCCATCCAGTCATACCATCACTCATAATTACCACAACTGGCATACAAAAACTTTTACACAACATCAATCCACACAAAGCCACTGGCCCAGACAACATCAGCGGCAGAGTACTAAAACAACTTCAAAACATAACGGCACCAATCCTCACCATTATTTTCCAGAAATCACTTACAACTGACTGTATACCATCTGACTGAAAACATGCAAATGTCGCACCAGCATACAAAAAAGGGGGAAAATACAATGCAGTTAACTACAGACCAATCTCTCTCACTTGTATCAGTTGCAAACTAATGGAACACGTCATAACAAAACACTTAATTAACCACTTAGAAAAAAACAACCTATTATACGACCTCCAGCACGGCTTCAGACACTCTAGATCATGTGAAACACAACTTCGATCTTTTATACAAGAACTAGCTTCAAATTCAGATAATAACACCCAAACAGACCTTATAATTATGGACTTTGCCAAAGCCTTTGACAAAGTCCCACATCAAAGACTCTTATACAAACTACATTTCTATGGTATACAAAATGAAACACTTAACTGGATCTCTGCCTTTTTATTAAACCGCACATAAACAGTTGTCCTGGATGGAGAGTCATTAGATGTTGCTCCAGTTACTTCTGGTGTCCCACAGGGAACAGTTCTGGGTCCCGTTCTATTTCTGGTATATATAAACGACCTACCAGGATATTTGAAATCCAGTAAACTCAGACTATTAGCAGACGACAGCATCATTTACAAAAGCATCAAATCTAAAAAAGATTGTGATAGCCTTCAGGAAGATCTTGATGCTGCTGCAAAGTGGGAAGAAGACTGGCTGATGGCTTTCCATCCTGACAAATGTACAGTTCTCACTGCCTCAAACAAGAAAAATACAATTAAACACGACTACATCCTTCACAGCCATACCCTAGAATCTGTCTCCTCCGCTAAATATCTTGGTATACTCGGCACTGCAATCCGACTTAAAATGGACCCAGCATACAAACAACATCATTGGTAATACTAATAAAAGCCTAGGCTTTCTAAAAAGAAATCTAAAAACATCCATCACAAACATTAAGTCTCAGGCGTACCTAGCACTTGTCCGACCAAAACTAGAATATGCTTGTTCCGTTTGGAACCCTCATACTGCTGAACAATGCAATAAACTTGAGATGGTTCAACGTCGGGCTGCTAGGTATGCCTGTAATCGTTATCACAACACCAGTAGCGTTACAGACATGCTCAATACTCTAAATTGGCCTACCTTACAACAACGCAGACTTAAAACTAGACTTATAATGTTCTATAAAATTGTTCACCATATTGTCGCTGTACCATCAGAATTACTCATACCAACAGACAATAGAACCCGACAAATTCATCCACAAACTTACAGACACCTACTTACATTTAAAGACTGTTACAAATATTCATTTTTTCCGTTTACTATTACACAATGGAATGTACTACCTCCAAAGGTAGTACTTTCTCCCACTCTAAATATTTTTAGAGAACAGTTGACACCTACTGTTCTCTACAATATAGAACAGTAAACCTAGTAGTTATGTATATAGTTTTAACCACATGTCATGTTAGTATTTGTTTATTTTTGGCACTATTCTTTTGTAAATATTTATTTATTATTATCCTACGCATGCGCAACAGTTAGTAATCATCAAAAATCTGATGGATAACTGGATACCATAAGAAGAAGAGCTCGAAAATTAAAATATGGCCAATGTAAACTTTTAGATGCTTTGAATAAACTTAATCTGAAAGATTATCAATTAAACTCTGAAAGATTATCAATCTAACACTGTAGTAAGATCTTTGAATATTGACTTCATCGGAACAAACATTGATTTTTTTAATAATAGGAACATTACTAAATGTGTTTGGCTATACAGTGAAAAACACATTTTTGTTCTACATGCTGTCTATACATTCTTTATGAGCCTGTCCACTGTTAGGAACCTGTAACTCAGTGTTTTTTTTGGTTATATTTAGCATAAATCAGACCATTGGATTTCTCTTTTGACTTGTTTCACATTTTTTCATACTGGTGCCTTTTATAGCTTTCTATACATATGGTACTAGTTTTTCTTTTCCTTGTTGAAGGCCATACATTGCCCTATAGTTGTTAACATATTTGTCCTTTGGTCTCTTGTTAGATAGTCGTCTCTTTTTAACTCCTAATTTTTATTGTTTGGTGGCTGATTGTTCTTATATATTTTATAACAACTAGCCAACTTTTGAAAATCTCCATGGGGTTTTTGTGCGACAATTCTAAGGGTTGAAATTTTCAAAGTGTTCTTGTGTGCATGTTTTTCCATTTAGAAATACCAGTAGTGTCACATCTTCTTTTTTTCCTTCTGATTTATAATAAACTTACGAGCCTTAAATTTTATCTTATTTATTCTTGTACTTTTGTTGTATTTTGTAAGAAAAAGGTAGGAAACCATGCTGCAAGATCTTTTCTTATATAGGAATAACTGCCTGTTGACCAATTCCATAATATGCTGACACATAAAGTTGTATTGCTGTCTCCATTGTGGGTTGGAAGTTTTATCACAAGGTGGTGTTGTTGATTTTAACAGTGAGGAGAAAATATAAATTTGTTTGGTCTAAAGCAGACTGAGTGTATGCCTGTATCTTCTCAACTGCTGAGAATATACGTTCACAATCTTGATTGCCAGGGGAAGTAATTCAGTTTCTGACAGATACTGAATTGTTCTGAGCCTTGAAGGACTTCTGGTGAAGAGATGACCTGCTATAAAACAATATTGAGGCCACTATGGTTAACTTTGGTCGGCTTTTTTCTGCTCTTTGGTCGGGTTGTTGTCTCTTTGACACATTCCCCATTTCCATTCTCAATTTTATTTGAAGCATCTGTTGCAGAGGGCAAGTTGAAATTCTGTGTAGGATTTTGAAAACCGGCCATGTTTCTTACTACCGTAGAAACTCACCTAATAGTCGATCCTACTATAAGTCGGGTGCCCTTTTCAGCTCCAAATTCTAAGGATTTAGTCTTGACCCTCGTATAAGTCGGACAAAATTTGGGCATTTTTTTTTTCAGCTGACAGTAACTGAACGCCGGTAAAACCAATGCAAATCCAGGAATAATATTCATTTCTGCATTAATGTTTGTTTGGTTTGAATTTAGTTGATGCTCATCATAATTTATATTGCTGTTGATAATAAAGATGTATTCATTTCTCTTGTTTTGTTCACTGTTCAAATGTTTGATTAGCCATGTGTTGTTTACGTAATGCATCAATGATTTTGTAGGGTATGACTAACAACCTATTGTTTGAGAAAAGCGAATACCAGCATGAAACAACACGAATTTCTTCATTGCCTAGGTAAGAACCATTTTGCAAGAGATAATAACCTTGATCACAAATTTGTTTTTAATTCAAACAAAGACAGAGAGAATAAATTGGCCACTTGCTTCTTAATCTTTGTTTATAATTCAGTGAGTCAACAGGAGGAAGTGTGGTCATATGAAAAAACTAATTCCCATTGGCCTTATTATCAATGCTCATGATTGACTCATTTGGAGAAAAAGTATAACATAAATCCATTGATCAATCATTCTTAGATTACTGAAGAGGGTTTATCCCTTGCCAAGGACCATACTGCATCTTCTTAAATACACAATCTATGCCATTGCTCAAACAAACAATTTTATTCAACTAAAACCCTCCATCTTCATGAATATGAAACCAGCAATCTCTATTTATCTGTCTAGTCTTTATTATCAAACTTATTTGTGGAACACCTCAAATTGTAATTGACTGAAGAGTAAAAGAAAGAGGGTATAGTGCATAATTTGGTACTGCTGGTAGATTTTGTCATGTCTATACTCAGGACAATTTTAGAGCTTTACAAATAGTAAAAACACTTGTCTATTGTTGAAAACTCAACGTAAACCTCAAAACATCTTTATTATTTTTTGTGCTGTTGGGTTGGTGTTCCATAAATGTGTACCTCACATCTCTTTTTTATTCCTATATAATATAAAAATAAAATTAATAATACCAGATTTACTAAAATTTTATGTTTGATAAGAATTTTGATACATCTTTGAAAATGAATGATCATCAAAAATACATTTTAAGATACAAAGGAAATCTTTCCTTTTCCTTATTTTGTAATTTTAAAGTTCTATAGAGAAATTTGGCTTAATATATAATGAACAAAATCTTTACTATTAAATACGTTTATCAATTACAAAAATATCATTTATAAGGATTTAAAACTGGCAACAAGTTGATGAAATGCTTTTAAAAAATAATAAAGTAAAAAATAACTAAAGGATGTTCGTGCAGTACAAAATTTACACCAACATAGAATCCTTAAATTTGAAAATGTTGGCATAGGTTGAGTGATTTCTACCTACTTACAAATTACAAAAGAAAAAGAAAATACTGTGACCAATGTTGAAATAGGAGATTCATTCTCTAGAAAAAAAAAACGATAATGATTTATGAAATGGCATTTTTTTTTACACCTTTATGCTTGTCAATGATTATATTCAAGATGCAAAGCATATCTGGTTTCAAAACCAGACATGTTGCCCTATGTTTCTACAAAATACATCTTTTCTATCAACACAGTCGTCAATACAGCTCCTTAAAAAAATATGTTTAACAAATAGTTGCATCACAAATTTTCGGAACTCTGGCACAGGACTTCTGATGGAATTGCTCCTGTTCATTCCAATCCAATAAAAAACAATGTTACATAGTTATTGCACCAATGATAAAACTGTTAGTTCATCTCTGTCTGTTCTGAGCAGCCTCTTTTCTTGCTGCATCTTGTAACAATTGTGTATCACATTCATCTGCAGGTAACTGTACATATCTGACTACTGAACCTCTAATAAAACAATTCTTCACTGATAACTGAAAAAGAGAGCATGTTACTATCAACAATTTATTTTGAACTGAATATTTTCAGTTAAGTTTTTTATTTAACTTATTATTATAGGTGTTGTAGTAAACAAAATTTCATTTTTCTATGAACTTTCGATGTATCAATCAATACACTTATATACATAAAATATACTGGTACTCGAAGATATTGAAACTGATGCACAATAGGAAATAAAATACAAACTTGACAAAGTGATGCCCCTGCACTCCACTCTGAAGTAACTGTATTATAACAAAGTCAATGTAGGACTTTCTTTGAGAGCACTTACAACATGCACAAACTAACAAATCAGAAACATTTTACCAAAAGTACATCGTTTCTATTTATATATCAAATGTTTGTTTTCTTCTTTTGATTTGGTTTTGTAAATCAACTTTAAGATAATGTATTTAAAGATTATCGATGGTTTTTCAAACAAGAGGGTGTTTCCCAGCTACAATCTCATTGAAGGGTGACAGCCCTGAGATGAGATTTGTCCGAGAAACATTCTCTAGTCCATTGATAATCTGTTTATCGCTATTCTGCCTATGACGTCATTGATGTCTATATTGACAACGTCACATGCGCCCTTAGTTTCTGATGATAATTTTCCATCTCAACCGAGTAGCATGATATGAAAATTTACCACAATAAAAGATCAAAGGAAAAATGCACAAAATAGCGATAAGATCTAATAGTCTCAGTAAATAGTTTTATAACGATAAATTGTCATCTTATGGTTATCTATCTTCCAATTGTGGTTTTTGTCCCCTCAGTATCTTCTGCCCCTTTTGTGAAACTTTTGGTTAAAGTTGGCAATAATGATCCAACATGCTCTGGGTATCATTCAGACACTTGGGCAATAAAGATGTAAAGTGTAATTGTTTAGTAATTGATAAGAAAGTCCTACCATATGTGGATATTTATCTGGATCTGTGACCTGTATGTCTGTTAATTTAATATTCAGGAACTGATCTACTGAATGTAATGTACCACATATGCTACAAAATATATAACATTTAAAGCATCGAAATACATGAAAAAACGTAAAAATGTATTTCAGATTAAGAACTCATCAAACATAACAAATATCTTTCTTTAGGGTCTTTTTAAATTAGGACTTATTTCTACTTGCATGAATCAAAATAACATAAATGTGGATAGTGTCCTCATGTGGACACAGATGATGCCCCCCCTTGCATATCATATAGTTATAAAGGGACATAACTGAAGAACGGTAAAAGTAACGCTACCCAAATTTAAACTTGACCTGAGTTTTGTGGTATTAAGCATTGTGTGTAAGTCTCATAACATTTGGTTGAGGCTAACTTAAGTAGAGAACAGAAACTAAAAATTCAGCAATTTTTCTATTTGTAAACATGCATAACTCTAGAACGGTTGTGTATAAGTTTTATAACATTTGGTTGAGACAAAGTAAAGTTAGAGAACGGAAACAAAAAATCAGCAATTTTTATGTTTATAAAGGGACATAACTCAAGAAGGGTAAAAGTGTCGCCACCAAATTTCGTACTTAATCTTATTATGTAGTAATTAGCATTGTGTATAAGTTTTATAACATTTGGTTGAGGCAAACTAAAGTTAGAAAAAGGAAACAAAAAATTTGTACTTGATCTTAGTTTTGTGGTAATGAATATTGTGTATAGGTTTCATAATGTTTGGTTGGGGCAAACTTAAGTTACAGAATGGAAACTAAAAAATTTGCAATCTTTCGATTTATAAAGGGGCATAACTCAATAATGGTTAAAGTGACACTACCCAAATTCAACTTGATCTGTGTTTTATCATTAAACATTGCATTGTATAAAGCATTGATTGTAGTTGATTCAACTATAATCATGGACAAAGGAAGATAACTCCAATTTTAAAAATTACTTGATATTTAGAAGAAAATAAAAATTTGAAATTTTTCCATTTATAAAGGGGCATAACTCTAGAACAGTTAAAGTGACGCCACCAAAATTCATACTTGATCTGTGTTTTGTGGTAATAAGCATTGTGTATAAGTTTCATAACATTTAGTTGAGGCAAACTTAAGTTAGAGAACGGAAACTAAAAATTTTGCAATTTTTCCATTTATAAAGGGCATAACTCTAGAACAGTTAAAGTGATGCCACCAAAATTCAAATTTGATCTGTGTTTTGTGGTAATAAGCATTGTGTATAAGTTTCATAACATTTGGTTGAGGGAAACTCAAGTTAGAGAACGGAAACCAATTTAAGGACGTACAGACAGACAAGGGTAAAACTTAATGCCCCCACCGCTACGGCGGGGCATACAAATAATACTTTTGTCCAGATCTTGATACATATATGGAAAAATTCCAGGCTGTTTGTAAAAAGAAATCTTAGTATCATAAATATGAAGTGACTGTCCTAAGACCTGAAAATCGCTTAAATACTGGTACATGTTGCAATTCAGTATTATATCAAATATTAAATCATCCCTTTTAAAATACTTGAGATGAGTAATGTGTGACAAAAATTTCCACGTTCAGTGGAAAATAAAACCTCAAAATATCATGAAACAGGAAATTACTGCCACCCATGTCTGAAAATCCCTCACAAAAATATGACTTACACAGTACATCTTAGTTTTGTCAAATTCCAAATATCAAAATGTTCCTTTATCAGACAATGAGAGACATGAGAAATATGGTATAATAAATGTGGATAGTGTCCACATGTGGACACAGATGATGCCCCTGCTTGCATATCATATAGTTATAAAGGGACATAACTAAAGAACGGTAAAAGTGACGCTACCCAAATTTGAACTTGATCTGAGTTTTGTGGTAATAAGCATTGTGAGTAGGTCTCATAACATTTGGTTGAGGATAACTTAAGTAGACAACAGAAACTAAAAATTCAGCAATTTTTCTATTTGTAAACAGGCATAAGTATTAACTCTAGAACAGTTTTGTATAAGTTTTATAACATTTGGTTGAGACACACTAAAAAATTCAGCAATTTTTATGTTTATAAAGGGACATAACTCAAGAATGGTAAGAGTGTCGCCACCAAATTTCGTACTTAATCTGTATTATGTAGTAATAAGCATTGTGTATAAGTTTCATAACATTTAATTTGGTTGAGGCAAACTAAAGTGAGAAAATGGAAACAAAAAATTTGTACTTGATCTTAGTTTTGTGGTAATGAAAATTGTGTATAGATTTCATAATGTTTGGTTGGGGTAAACTTAACTTACAGAATGGAAACTAAAAATTTTGCAATCGTTCGATTTATATAGGGGCATAACTCAATAGTGGTTAAAGTGACACTACCCAAATTCAACTTGATCTGTGTTTTATCAGTGGAAGTCAAAATTAAACATTGCATTGTATAAAGCATTGATTGTAGTTGATTCAACTATAATCATGGACAAAGGAAGATAACTCCAATTTAAAAATTACTTGATATTTAGAAGAAAATAAAAATATTGCAATTTTTCCATTTATAAAGGGGCATAACTCTAGAACGGTTAAAGTGACGCCACCAAAATTCAAACTTGATCTGTGTTTTGTGGTGATAAGCATTGTGTATAAGTTTCATAACATTTGGTTGAGGCAAACTTAAGTTAGAGAACGGAAACTAAAAATTTTGCAATTTTTCCATTTATCAAGGGTCATAACTCTAGAATGGTTAAAGTGACAACACCAAAATTCAATCTTGATCTGTGTTTTGTTGTAATAAGCATTGTGTATATGTTTCATAACATTTGGTTGAGGCAAACTTAAGTTAGAGAACGGAAACTAAAAATTTTGCAATTTTTCCATTTATAAGGGGGCATAACTCAAGAACGGTTAAAGTGACACCACCAAAATTCAAACTTGATATGTGTTTTGTGGTATTAGGCATTGTGTATAAGATTCATAACATTTGGTTTAGGCAAACTCAAGTTACAGAACAGAAACCAATTTTGGGACGTACGGATGGACGTACGTACAGACGGACAAGGGTAAAACTTAATGCCCCCTCCGCTATGGCGGGGACATAAAAAATCATGTGCTCAACTGGTACAAAAAATATTCAAAATTTTGTCAAACAGGAAGAGACTGTCCAATGTTCAATGGGTATAAAAACAAATTTAAAAGTGTCTTAAAACACTGGAAGATTTAAATTTGCTTTAAGTAATGGTACAACCCAACATTAAAAAGTTCCTGGCCATATATGAAATCATTTCTTTATACAGAATCTTAGAAACATTCAATGTTCAGAAGGTTCTGTTAAGAATCAAAGTAATGTCAAACAGGAATTAACTGGCTGCAAATCTGAAAATCAGTTTCAACTTATAACTTAAGGTACAACTCATTATTACAATAGATATAAGAAGATGTGGTACGAGTGCCAATGAGACAACTCTCCATCCAAGTCACAATTTGTAAAAGTAAACCATTAAAGGTCAAAGTACGGCCTTTGACACGGAGCCTTGACTCACACCGAACAGCAAGCTATAAAGGGCCCAAAAATGACTAGTGTAAAACCATTCAAACAGGAAAACCAACGGTCTAATCTATAGAAAAAACAAGAAACGAGAAACACTTACGAACCACATCAACAAACGACAACCACTGAATATCAGGTTCATTATTAAGTTGAAGACCAAATATCAAATCATTCCATAATAAAGAAGCTAAGTAATATGAAACAAAGGTTAGAGACAAAGCAAAGGACAAACACGGTGAATGCAACATGCAACTTTGTACTTGGGGCCTGGGGTGTTTATATTATAAACATGATAAAAATAAGAAGATGTGGTGTGATAGCCGATGACAAGTATCCACCTAAGACCAAATCATGTGGATGAAAACAAGTGTAGTTACTGTACATATAACTCTTAGATTCTTACCTCAAATCATTCTTTAGTTCCACAACCACATCCTTACCAACTAAAGATTTGAAGAAAGAGTAAAACAACTGAAATCAGAAAATATAAACATGATTTATAGGTATAAATGCATTCATATTAATGCATTACAATTTTAATTAAGGAGATGTAGTTTGATTGCCAATAAGACAATTTTCTCCAATCTTAATCAGCTCACCAAATAAGAAGGACCCAAGCAACAACAAAACACCATATAGTTTTCAATAATGAACAATACCAATACCATATGGTAGGCTATTAAAGGCTTGGAAAACAAAAATTAAACAGGGAAAACTAACATACTGATTTAAGCTAAAACATAAAACGAAAATCAATAATGATAGATGACAACTATCAACTATCAATAAACTGTTGACACAGAAATACGTCTTGGTTGTATATAATTTGATAGTAAAATGCAAATGTTGAAATTAAAATAGCAATACTTTAACATGTAAATAATACAAAATACTCAAAGTCAATGAACCATAAATGAAGGAAAAGGGCTGAAGAATTTCTGAGATATAATATGCTGATACAACTGCAAACGAAAAATTATTGACTTTCCATACAGCTGCCATATGCGGTTCCCCTTAACTGACCTAATCACAAACTTTAACAATTAAGTCAATGAACCATAATGAGGGTGTGGGGTTATATAATCTCCATGGAAATGAAACTGCATACTAAATATCATTGACTTAACATTAGTGGTTCATCTTAAACTGACCTATTAAATCACAAACTAATACATGTAAATGAAGCAAAAGTTTCAAAGTCAATAGACCATGACTGAGGGAGCAGGGCCAAATAATCTCCATGGAAATGAGATATGCCAATGCTTATACAACTGCATACCAAATATCATTGACCTACCACTAGTGTTTCCCCATAAACTGACCTAATCACAAACCAATACATGTAAACTAAGCAAAGTTTAAAAGTCAATAGACCATGACTGAGGGGGCGGGGCCAAGTAATCTCCATGGTAATGAGATGCGCCAATGCGAATACAACTGCATACCAAAAATCATTGACCTACCCCTAGTGGTTCACCATAAACTAGACCTAATCACAAACTAATACATTGTTGATGAGGCCGTTGCCACCTGAAACAGCATACCTATGTCTCGCTTTTTGACTCCGTCAAGGCGAGACAAAAATGATCTGAAAATGGTTAAAACATCAAACAGATTAAATTTTTTAATTGGTAGAATTTCTTTAACATGTTTAAAAGTTTTTGAAATGAAAACCAATCAAAACATTTTAATAGAACAGCATGAGAAAACTTATTACAACAAACCAATTAATTATTTTCTATTGTGTATTCCAACTTCTTAATTACATGTGCTGAACTTTAAACCATATACAAAATGTATCAATGATACCTATTTCATTAAAATCTGAAATTGTAAAAAAAGGAAAGAAAAAGGTAATAAATGTGGATAGTGTCCACATGTGGAAACAGATGATGCCCCCGCTTGCATATCATATAGTTATAAAGGGACATAACTAAAGAACGGTAAAAGTGACGCTATCCAAATTTGAATTTGATCTGAGTTTTGTGGTAATAAGCATTGTGTGTAAGTCTCATAACATTTGGTTGAGGCTAACTTAAGTAGAGAACAGAAACTAAAAATTCAGCAATTTTTCTATTTGTAAACACGCATAACTCTAGAACGGTTGTGTATAAGTTTTATAACATTTGGTTGAGACAAACTAAAGTTAGAAAACGGAAACGAAAAAATTCAGCAATTTTTATGTTTATAAAGGGACATTACTCAAGAATGGTAAAAGTGTTGCCACCAAATTTCGTACTTAATCTGTATTATGTAGTAATAAGCATTGTGTATAAGTTTCATAACATTTGGTTGAGGCAAACTAAAGTTAGAAAACAGAAACAAAAAATTTGTATTTGATCTTAGTTTTGTGGTAATGAATATTGTGTATAGGTTTCATAATGTTTGGTTTGGGCAAACTAAAGTTACAGAATGGAAACTAAAAATTTTGCAATCTTTCGATTTATAAAGGGGCATAACTCAATAATGATTAAAGTGACACTACCCAAATTCAACTTGATCTGTGTTTTATCAGTGGAAGTCAAAATTAAACATTGCATTTTATAAAGCATTGATTGTAGTTGATTCAACTTTAATCATGGACAAAGGAAGATAACTCCAATTTAAAAATTACTTGATATTTAGAAGAATATAAAAATTTTGCAATTTTTCCATTTCTAAAGGGGCATAACTCTAGAATAGTTCAAGTGACGCCACCAAAATTCAAAATTGATCTGTGTTTTGTGGAAATAGCATTGTGTATAAGTTTCATAACATTTGGTTGAGGCAAACTAAAATTAGAGAACGGAAACGAAAAATTCAGCAATTTTTCCATTTGTAAAGGGGCACAACTCTTGAACGGTAAAAATGACGCCACCAAAATTCATACTTCATCTATGTTTTGTGGTAATAAGCATTGTGTATAAGATTCATAACATTTGGTACATATGTACGTACAGACGGACAAGGGTAAAACTTAATGCCCCCTCCGCTACAGCGGGGGCATAAAAATAATATTAGGTGCCGAAATGACTTTAAACATTTTAAATAGGTGCTGATTTAACTAAATGCAGATTTGACCAGGTACCGATTTTACTTTTTTTATAGTATAGGTGCCGAAGTGACCAGGTGCCTGTCAATGTTTATTTGTTCCGCCTAACAGATGTTCCACTAGAAACTTTGTTATAAACAATGCCATAATATCTGTTCCTGTTGGAACAAATATTCTATTCCATTTATTCCGTTAGGAACATATACTGTAATATTTATTCCGCTGGAAATGATATTCCAGAATACTTTTTCCATTTGGAACTTATTCTCGATGATTGGAAGTTCGTTACCCCAAATCTAAACGGAAGAAAAATTTGAAACCTTGGAGCAAATATTATCCACTATGGATGTAAATATTCTTTACTTATTTGCAAACAGTCTGATACATTTAATTGATGAATAGCTACAGAAACATGGTCAATCTTTCTATGTTTTGTATTGTGACCTGATTCCGTAAAATAAGTAGGCATGCTTGTAAGTTCATGACCTTTGTCTTGGACGGTGGCTTTTGCGCATGTGCAACAATATATAGGGCAGGCCTATTGTTTTATGTATTTGAACATTACAGAAAAAATTTGAGATCACATAACAAATGAATATCTCGAAAAAAAGAGAGATTGGGACATACAATGTACTCACTTTTTATTCTCCCCACAAAAACTATTCTAATTTTTACATGTGACTTTCAATGGTCAATTGGGAAGTCCAGAATTAAACACTTTAAACATGTTTAAGATAACTATAACGATGTCACAATGTCATTAATGCATCAAAGTATTTTTTCATACTTTTTCATCCCTTTATAGTTTACTGTTCAGTGTGAGCCAAGGCTCCGTGTTGAAGACCGTACTGTGACCTATAATGGTTTACTTTTATAAATTTTTACTTGGATGGAGAGTTGTCTCATTGGCACTCATACCACATCTTCTTATATCTATTTCAACCAATTTGCATTCAACATGTTCAATGGCATAGGATTAAATTACTTTTACGAGCCAATATTCGGCAGGTTTTGTTTTATCAAAAAATATCATATCATTTTCTGATCTAAAAAAATCCGCTCGCATACAGACTTTAAAAAATTATACTCTTGGCCTTAAAAAAAGGGATAAGAGGCCACATACATGTAACCTAAAAATAGATGATGACTCAATGTTGAGATGTCAATAACATTGCTGAAAGAATTTTCCCAAGAATTCAGCAAAGTTATAGGAGAGGAATAAAACAGTAGTAGTGGAAATAGACGTTTAAACAAATAATATGCTAGAACATACACCACTTCTCTTTTTCAAGCCGATATTACTGATAATGCAATGAAAAATATTCGCTTAAGTTTTTTTGAAGTAGCACGTTGCCGATGATAAATACTTTTGCATGACGTCACGAATAAAGTCGAAATCCTCAAATGTCACGATTTTGCAAGCATAACGAACTTGCAATCATCGACGATATATTGTGTTATTAAATTATGTAGGAACTTCTATTTCGTGACATGCAGAATTTGTGCCCAATACCACGTCTACTGATAATCTATGAATTAGATGTTCAAATACGACCTGTGTCGGACTAATGGGTCGTCGATTTAATGGGGTGTCGTACTATTGGGTGTCGGAATTTAGAGGCGACCCCGCTGGTCTCGGTGAGTGAGTGACGCTCAGCAGCAGTGACAGCAGTAAATAGTAAAATAGATCACTTGAGGCCATGGATGGACTTTTAACTCATCTCCTCCTATACACTTTACGACCAATCAAAGGTAGTTGATGGGCTGACATAGCTAAAAAAATGAAAAATGGACGTTATTATATGAAAAACAAAATGTAAAATTTTCATTCATGCTTTTACCCACCATTTTGGATTTTTATCTCGTCATAAAGGAGACTTCACTAGAAATAAAGATAGATAGAATCTTTATTCATAAATTTATTAGCCATAATGTTTCTTTGTATTTATTTTTTCCAAAATTTATAATGGCAATCGGAAACTTTTCTCAAAAGAAGCAGAAAAAAATATATTTTGCATAGCCGGTCATTGTTGTCACGTGACCCAAACGAGAGTTTAATTTGTAAAGTGAAAATAGCACTGTCATACAGCAGACAACTGGAAAATGACATCTGTACTCAGTCATATAAATCAGGAGGAGTCACATTATGCTCCTAAACAGGCATACTTTAATCCCTATGAACAGAATGGAGGGTATTACATTTTCCCTCTCATGTTAAATTCACATACATCAAAATTTTATTTGTTAGACATGTTATTGTTAAAACTGTGAAACAGTCATAAAAATATGATATGGTATAATTTATTGTCAATGAAACAACTATCTACCAGAGACCAAGGCGTTGATGTAAGCAAACCGCTTGTCTGCCCTTGGGTGATTTTATTTAAAGTGAATACAACATAACTCATAAGAAGAGAGTTGCCATGACCACTAACATAATTTCACTGGCACCACTAGACCAAATCACAGGCACTTGCCTCGGAATAATTTTTTACCTATACACTTTTAATATAACACAATGTACCTAACTCACATATTTGAGATATGTCACCCAGTCGTGAACCTCCGTTATATTTCGATTCTGCGGTCGTCTATCCGACTTAAACTTATTTTGTTGTAAATCTACATTTAATTATCTACAAAATGATGTATAACATTCCTATTTCTATTGTCTTAATCATTTGTAACAGGCCTTCAAAGTACGTAATCCGTAATTATTTCGTCTTCTCACACAGTCAGGGGTACTACTCGTACAAGTTATTTTTATTTACTCGAAGGAGTAAATTTGTAAGATACTTATAAATACAAGTGTATTTTATTTACTTGTAATATGAGGCAGGTGTTACCTGTGAAAGGGGACGAAGACTGTATGAATTATTTTTTTTAATTCAAGCATATTTTAACTCCATAATTGTAATATAAAGTCAATGAACTATAAGTAATCCTATAGTCTGGGAAAACACCAAGGTCATGGCATCTGTTTACTATCAAATGTAAGTTCTTATCAGATCCTTACTGTTACTAGCTTTATATGAGAACTGTTTCCAGATCAACATCACTTGCGTGCTTTATACTTGACAAGTAAACATGTACAATGTATATAATATAGTTTAGATTAGAATAAAACATATGTATACATGTATATTAAAAGAGTATATATTTGCCTCGCCAATATAACAATAATCTGTTAAAAAAGAAAATGAAATACAGCAACATTTCCGATGTTGGTCCTGTTGTTAGGGATTTTAGTTTTGACGGAGCTCTGTGACGTCATTTTCAATGCAAACAAAGAAACGCTATGATTTTATTGGTATGTTGATTTTTATAATGATTTTTAGTTTTTATTGATTTGCTTACTGTTATAAGGCATGTCCCCATAATATTTTACTCAAATCCTAAATTAAACAATACTGGAAAAGATTTCTGCGCAGATGTGGGAAAATAAAAAAGTTAGAAAAAAAAAATTTATAATCATTTTAATGGCTTAATTATGTCCCTTAGAAATGCAGATTTTTTTTTTTAATTGTACAAGTTAAAAAGTCATACTAACTTCATTTCGTGAATTTCTCAGGACTTCTTTGCTCTAATAGAATTTTTAATTGTTTGTCCTTTGTAGATGTCTTTACTAATCATTTAAGTGTAAGGGAGCTACCATTTGATTTTTAGGGGGGGGGGGGCTAGGATGAAAAATTTTGTCCTGCCTTTTTATTTTTCCCTCTATTTGGTCCTGCCTTTTTATTTTCCACTCTATTTGGTCCTGCCTTTTTTTTCAGTTTATCCTGCCTTTTTTTTAACATAAATTGTCATCCTGCCTTTTTTTTTGCAAATAATCTCATCCTGTCTTTTTTTTTTACTCAAAACTCCTGTCCTGCAATGTCCTGCCTATTTTTTTCAAATTTCATCCTAGCCCCCCCCCCCCCCCCCCCCCATAAAAATCAAATGGTAGCTCCCTAATTTCATGGACAATGAAAATCTCATTTGGCAGTTATCTTCAAAACGCTGCTCATTTACAAGCCTCCAAGGGGCAATTTTTGAAGGCCTTGCACAATTAGTTTCTTTGTTGAATTAATGAGATGAAACATTGAACTCTAATGAAAAATTATAAGCTAACCAGAGAAAAATTGTTTAAGGCATGTTTTTACATCCCAAAACTCTTGAGAATTTTAAGGATTGTAAAAAAAAATTACTTATACAGGTAAATTTTTTGAGAAAATTAAGGGGAGATTATTCAAACCTTATAAGAAAATATGAATATAACAAATTTACTTATATAAGTATATTATTATTTACTTCTTCAAGGAAATAGAAATAACTTGTACAATTAGTACCCCTGACTGTCACAGCCGATTGAAAATGTTAATCTCGCAGTGACTGATTAATTATAATTGTCCCTTTGGTATCTTTCCCCTCTCTTATACATATCTTATTGCTAAAAATAAATGTTTTTTTTTTAGTTATCTCAATTTTATATATTAAGTCCAGAGAGAGTCTGAATGACATTGATGGATTGGGAAAATTTGAGTTTAAAAATAGAAACTTGTAACTCATTAGCATGATAAGACATTCCTCAAATAACACTTTATTAGATTTTTTTCACAGTATTTTTTACAAATTTACTATCTGGATGATAAGTTCTATTCAGAGAAAAACTAACAGGTTTTTGGGAAATACTTTTTATAATTAATCATTAACTGAGAGATTAACATTTCCAATTGGCTGTGAAAAGACGAAATAATTACGGTTTACATACATATTCTTACCTTTTGTGCTTGTTGGTTCTAAATTTTCCTAGAAATATAAAAAATTAATGGTAAAATAAGTTACAATTATATTCCTTTCTGAGATTTGCAATTAACTACATGTACTTAGGTTTAAAAATGATTTCCCAAAATCCTTCACTTTTGGAGAGTATAAAATAAATTTTTCAAAACCAATGTGTAAAATTTGATTGACCGGAATTTTCTGAATAGATACAAGAAGATGTGGTATGAGTGCCAATGAGACAACTCTCCATCCAAGTCAAAATTTATAAAATTAAACCATTATAGGTCAAAGTACGGTCTTCAACATGGAGCCTTGGCTCACATCGAACAGTAAGCTATAAAGGGCCCCAAAAATTACTAGTGTAAAACCATTCAATCGGGAAAACCAACGGTCTAATCTATATAAAAAACGAGAAACGAGAAACACTAATGAACCACATCAACAAACGACAACTACTGAACATCAGAATCCTGACTTAGGACAGGTGCAAACAAATGCAGCGGGTTTAAACGTTTTAATGGTACCAAACCTTCACCCTTTTTCTGAAACAATAGTGCAACATCACAACATAGAAAGACACACTATAAAATATCAACTGAAATAGCTTAACTCAATCAAAGGACATATTAACACCAATGAACATACACTGAACAAATAAATTTGACCTATGATACAATGCAAATACAAAATAAATAAACTAAGGGAAGAATAATAAAAGTAACATGTTATATCGGTATGAAATGTTAAACAATTGAAGAAAAACAATATTCTCGAACAAAAATATCAGCCATTTGCAATAACTTTAAACACAGGTAAATGAAAATAATTTTGTTGTTAGGTATACGTGTACAGTTCCAATAGTGAAAGGAAAGATTTTTACAAATAAATAATTTTGATGTTCATAGTACGAAGTGAAAATTTATAGTAGTACCAAACACTTATCAAAGCTGGTATATAGACCAGATATAACCCTGAATAACATTAATTTATATTTTCCGATGCTTTTCATTTGACAGAGAAATCCGATCTAGACGGCAAGCATTATCTTGTGATTTGAGTGACAATTTAAATTATGTTTTCCGTCTTCTGCATGGCCCTTCTCAATTTTTTTAATTTATACATTTATTATTCATATTATATATATCTAATAATCATGACATGTTTATACAAAACAAACGAAAACAAAATAATGTGGGCGAACATGAATATTGGCAAATAGACCATGATTCATATACATAACATGTAGCTACCATGACTACAGTTTAACCTAATATGATGGCCTCCATTGATAAAAATAGAAAATTCTTTGGAAAATTCTATTGATAAGCCTGATTGATTCAATAACTGATCCAATGGTTCAAGATTGGGCTAAAGTGTTCCCCTATTAAAAATATAGTCTTAAAGACTTTGAGCCATTATTGGGGAATTTATGGTTATATGCTAAATTAAAACTACTACAATAATACAGCATTTTCAAAAATCTTTTGCTCTGAAACCACTGTTCCAATCTGGTCCAACTTCTCCACAATCATCCTTAGGGTGTTAATGTTAAAAATCATGTCAGATTTGTGTCAATTGACAAGCATGTATGTTGTTACTATTAATAGTTCTGCCTCTTCTAAAAAAATAAAATAAAAAAAAGGATAAATCTTGAGATGACCTGATTACAACTAAACAGAAGGGAGAAAAAAAAAGATCCTCTTTTAAGAACCATTGATGATATCCAGGACAGCAATAAAACATGACTCCTTATGTTACCAATGGCATCCAGTCATTGTCAATTTAAAACCAAGTGAGTGATTCATGCTCCTTCTTGTCTGTCATTGATGTTGAAATCACTTTTTCAGGACAGTATTAGCAGTTGCTGGTGAAGATTTTTCAGTAATAGCATCAGATACAAGGTTGAGTCAAGGATTTTCTATACACACAAGGGATCTACCAAAGACCTATAAACTGTAAGTTTTAACTAAAGGAAGCCTTTAAAGTCATGTAATCAGAAGCTATTTATAAAATGAGTTGTAATATTGTTCTGGTGAAAAACAGTTTAAGGGGCCTTGGTGGCAAATGGTCTAAGTAGTTCATATACTGTATCACTAGCCTGTCAACATGGCAGCTGTCAGAGTTAGTCTCAAATCTTGACCAGGATTGTCAGTTTTCATGCTGAAGTCTGTAGTTCTTTCTGGGCACACTGGCTCCCTCTGCCAATAAAAACTGGCTGCCATGCAAAACTCAATAATGCTGAAAATGGACATAAACACCAAAAATCATCATTATATTATTTTATGAAATTATGCCTTTTGAACATGATGAACTTTAATATGAACAATTTTGGTATTTAGTCATATCAATGCATTGCACTCAGAAAAATATATAAGATATTCCTGCAGCTGGTAATGGATAACATGGATAATGGAGTGTTTATTTTTTCAGAGCAATTTTTTATTTGAACTTCAGTCAGTAATAATGGTTAAACATGTTGAACAATAAGATGATTTTTTTATACGTCCATTTACAGGACGTATTTTGGTATACTGTTGTCTGTCCGTCCGTCTGTCTGTCGTCAACATGTTGGACATTAACTCAAAAACGCTTCAACCTATTTGCATAAAACATTAGCGAATTGTTCATATCAATTGATTTGAGCTCCCTTTCGTTTTTTATATAATTTAGATTTTATGTTTCTGAGTTATCGGGTTTTATTCATTAAAAAAGGGGGGATTTTCCAGTTTTCGGACAATAACTCAAAAATGCTTTCACCAATTTGCAAGAAACTTTGGTCAATTGTTTATATCTATTGATGTAAGCTCCCTTTCAATTTTTATAAATTTTAGATTTTACACTTCCGAGTTATGAAAAAAGGGGTGATTTTCTAGTTTCCGGACAATACCTTTAAAGTGCTTTGAGCAGTTTTTATTAAACTTTGTTGACTGGTTTATATCAATTAAGATAACCTTCCTTTAGTTTTTTCACAAATTTCTGATATGACATTGAGAAGTTATTGAACTTTGTTCGTAAAAAATGCGACGGGCGTATCATGCGTTAATGGCGCAGCTGTTTATTATTTATTTTAAAGACAGTTGAGAAGAACCATATTTGAGAGTTTATTTTCTTTTTTTTGTAGGACATCTTCAACAGTTCTTGGGGCATGTGGTTTCCATGGAGATGTACTGACACTTACTAAGATTTTACAAGCAAGACTTAAAGTATGCTACAATTTTTATACGACCGCAAAAATTGAAAATTTTTTTGGTCGTATATTGATATGACGTTGGCGTCGTCGTCGTCCGAAGACACATTGGTTTTCGCACTCTAACTTTAGTTTAAGTGAATGGATCTCCATGAAATTAAACATAAGGTTCAATACCACGAAAGGAAGGTTGGGATTGATTTTGGGGGTTATGGTACCAACAGTTAAGGAATTAGGGGCCAAAAAGGGGCCAAAAATAAGCATTTTTATACGACCGCAAAAAAATTTTTGTGGTCGTATATTGGTATGACGTTGGCGTCGTCGTCGTCGTCGGCGTCGTCGTCGTCGTCCGGCGTCGTCGTCCGAATACACATTAGTTTTCGCACTCTAACTTTAGTTTAAGTGAATGGATCTCAATGTAATTTTACCATAAGGTTCAATACCACAAAAGGAAGGTGGGGATTGATTTTGGGGGTTATGGTACTAACAGTTAAGGAATTAGGGGCCAAAAAGGGGCCAAAAATAAGCATTTTTGTAACTTCCAGACATAACTTGTGTGTAAGTGTATGGATCTCTCTGACATTGGATCACAAGGTTCCATATCACAAAGGGAATACTGGGATTGATTTTTGGGGGTAATTTCCTCCAAATTTTGGGAATTAGGGGCCAAAAAGGGGCAAAAAACAAGCATTTTTCTAGTTTCAGGACAATAACTTGTTTGTAAGTGTATGGATCTTTATGAAATTGTACTGCAAGGTTCCATATCACAAAGGGAAAGCTGGGTTGGAGTTTGGGGGTAATTGCCCTAAACGTTTAGGAATTAGGGGCCAAAAAGGGACAAAAAAACAAGCATTTTTCTAGTTTCCAGACAATAACTTGTGTTCAAGTGAATGGATCTCTCTAAAATTGTACTGCAAGGTACCATACCACAAAGGGAAAGCTGGGATTGAGTGTGGGGGCGATGAATCATAAGGGGGTTCAAAAAATTTGGGGGGGGGGGATTTTTTTTTCCTTTTTTTTCTTTAAAATTTTCCATTTTAAATTGGTTATTTCTGATTTATATATAAAAGCAAATAATAATGATATGGTTTGAATAGCATACATGTGAACCTCCCGACAGGAGTACAATAATCCTGTTTTCAGGAGTCTCCTCCCGACCTCCGGTTGAAGAGGAAAATTATAATCCCGTGTATGAAATTTTTCATGAATGAAAAATTTCTGCCCAACATATCATCTCAGGCATCTGGTGTAACTCACATTACCTGAAGTTATATTTTACCTGTAAATCAATTAACATGCATAATTATATGGCTTCACTTGTCAGCTTGGGTGTCAAACATACTGGTAATCAATGATTTTTTACCTCAGGCTAACTGCCGTTGTGTAACAAAAACTGTGTATTTATTGGGTTACTTCCCTTGATTTATCCTGTTTTAAGTTACTTTCCTTTTAATAATGAAAATTTTTAAAAGAATATAAATAAAATATAAATTGAACAAATAATCATAAAAGGATGGTAAATAAATGATTTTAAATGTCTTAGGACAAATAAAAAAATAATAATTTGAAAATTATTTGAGGATTCTATACTTCCTTTCAAGGCTTAAATTGAAATTTATATGATAACTATGACCCTTGTATTACAGTTAGAATGATTTTCTGAGTATGCAAACAAAAGCTCTTTGCAGATAGTTAAACAAATGTTCTGGTTGCAATAAATGTTTTATAGAATATGAAGTAAAAAATTTAAAGAACATACTGAAAAAAAAAGATGTTAGATTGAACATGTAAACTATAAAGATGGAGAAACTTTATAAGTACAAGGGTACTATAAACATAATAAATTGGATGGAAAGTTGAAGAAAACACACTTTAAAAGACCATTTTTACAGCACACGGTTACATTTACGACAAAATTTATGTCGATTAAAAACCTCCTGATCTGAGTCCTAATCTCCTGACCAAAATTTCCCAATCTCCTGATCTGAGTTTCACAGTCCATCACATGTATGAATAGGTAAATTAAAAAATTATAAGTTCTTAGACCACTTTCATTCTGTGTCAGAAACCTATGCTGTGTCAAATATTTAATTACAATCCAAATTCAGTGCTGTATCAAGCTTGAATGTTGTGTCCATACTTGCCCCAACTGTTCAGGGTTTGACCTCTGCGGTCGTATCAAGCTGCGCCCCAGCGGAGCATTTTATTGTAACTTCCAGACAATAACTTGTGTGTAAGTGTATGGATCTCTCTGACATTGTACCACAAGGTTCCATATCACAAAGGGAAGGCTGTAATTGATTATGGGGGTAATTGCCTCAAAATTTTAGGAATTAGGGGCCAAAAAAGGGGCAAAAAACAAGCATTTTTCTAGTTTCATGACAATAACTTGTGTGTAAGTGTTTGGATATTTCTGAAATTGTACTACAAGGTTCCATATCACAAAGGGAAAGCTGGAATTGAGTTTGGGGGTAATTGCCCTAAACGTTTAGGAATTGGGGGCCAAAAAGGGGCCAAAAATAAGCATTTTTCTAGTTTCCAGACAATAACTTGTGTTCAAGTGTATGGATCTCTCTGAAATTGTACTGCAAGGTACCATACCACAAAGGGAAGGCTGGGATTGAGTTTGGGGGTGATGAATCGTAAGGGGGTTCAAAAAATTTGGGGGGGGGATTTTTTGTTTTTGTTTTTTTTTCTTTTAAAATTTTCCATTTTAAGTTGGTTACTTCTGATTTATATTTAAAAGCAAATAATAATGATATGGTAGGAGATACACACCAAACAGGATGTGTTAATTATTATATAATAAGTATTGTGCAATAGCAAGAAATTTTCAATTGCACAGTATTGCACAATAGCAAGAAATCTTCAATTGCACAGTATTGCGCAATAGCAAGAAATCTTCAATTGCACAGTATTGCGCAATAGCAAGAAATATCCAATAGCACAATATTGCGCAATAGCAAGAAATTGTCAATTGTACAGTATTGCGCTATAGCAAGAAATATTCAATTGCACAGTATTGTGCAAAAGAAGATACTTCGTATAAATTGCTTATTTCTTGATCAATTTCAATGGGGTTTTATTCTTGAATTCTTGGGGTTCTTTAATATGCTGAATCTTACCGTGTATTAAGTTTTTTGATTTTGGGCCCCATTTTTAAATTGGTCCACATTGAGGTCCAAAGGGTCCAAAATTTAACTTTGTTTGATTTCATCAAAAATTGAATTATTGGGGTTCTTTGATATGCCGAATCTAATCGTGTATTTAGATTCTTAATTTTTGGTTCCGTTTTCAAATTGGTCTACATTAAGGTCTAAAGGGTCCAAAATTTAACTTAGTTTGATTTTAACAAAAATTGAATTTTTAGGGTTCTTTGATATGCTGAATCTAAACATGTGTTTAGATTTTTTATTATGGGCCCAGTTTTCAAGTTGGTCCAAATCGAGGTCCAAAATTAAACTTTGTTTGATTTCAACAAAAATTGAATATATGGGGTTCTTTGATATGCTGAATCTAACCATGTATTTAGATTTTTGATTTTTGGGCCCCGTTATCAACTTTGTCCACATTGAGGTCAAAAGGGTCTAAAATAAAACTTTGTTTGATTTCATCAAAAATTGAATTCTTGGGGGTTCTTTGATATGCTGAATCTAACCATGTATTTAGATTTTGGATATTGGACCATAATAGGTGAATGTCCAATTTAAAATTTTTAAGTTCTTAGACCACATTCATTCTGTGTCAGAAACCTATGCTGTGTCAAATATTTAATCACAATCCAAATTCAGAGCTGTATCAAGCTTGAATGTTGTGTCCATACTTGCCCCAACTGTTCAGGGTTCGACCTCTGCGGTCGTATCAAGCTGCGCCCTGCGGAGCATTTTATTGTTTTATGATATAGATGGAATTGTCTTAAAACAACTTTAGTGTTTAACATACAGTCTAAAATGGTACAAAAAATTGTGATTATCATGACAATAACTGTCAAAATTCAATGAAGTCAAAAGTCAAAATTTTTATTCCTCTGTCCATTGGTTAAAAGGGAGGTAATTTTTTTTTATGAATCTGAGATTGAAATGGGGATGTTCAAACCAGAAATATGTCAGATATCGACATGTAAACAGTAAGGCATAAATAATGCCTAGCTGTGGTATAGTTATTTCATATTCATGTATGTACTTTATTACATTTTGCACATTACATAAATCATGTAAATGATTAACTATCATTATATTGATTGCTTTAGCTTCATTTAATTCATCATAATCAGGATATCCGATAAAAAATAAATATTAACATGATTTAAAATGTAAATGGACAGGAAAAAGGTGCAGATAACTTTGCCTAATACTGGAATAGGTTTAGAGTCCTTTGAAGAGTTGTTCCACTTCTTGAATATGCAAAAAGTAGGGCATTCACCCAATATATACTTCAGATTTGCTGCAATCTGATCAGAGGTAGTTACACATGGAAGATGACGACTAGATTTCCTTAAGTTTTATGACCAGTCTGTTCTAAAACTTCAAATGAAAAATGTCTTTAGTACACATCTTTGGATTTTCTAATTAATGCCAACTTTTTTTCCAGATGTATGAACATGAACACAATGAAAAAATGTCAACAACAGCTGTAGCTGCCATGTTGTCTACTATGCTTTACTCTAGAAGATTTTTCCCATTTTATGTCTATAACATTGTAGCAGGACTAGATGATGAAGGTTAGTTGAAAATTATATTGCACAGACACTTTAAAGCACTCTTAAGTTGAATAAAACTGTTGTGTTTCAAAGTTACCCTACCAACTATTTTTCTTAGCCAAAGGTTTATTCTTATATCAGTTATATAGATAAAAAAAGAAATCCAGCTGTTTTTTTACCTTCAAAAATAGAATGTAAGATTTTCTTGATTTTGACAAATGTAACATAGACCAAACAGTAGTTTTACCTTTTGAGCAGAGTTAATGAACATCTTTGTTTAAACCTAATGCAGAGTTCTCGAAAACCGTCTGTCCCGTTGGTCCTGACCGACAAAAATCGGCTAGGACCGACAATTGCATGTGTAGTGGCAGTCCTGATGACCGACAAAATTTTGGAGGTTGTTCACTTTTATTTTACATCTTTTCGGTATTCAGATAGCTTTCGAATTGGTTACTAATGTAAACAAACTTTAATTGCATAGCTCAAAATTACGGTTATACTTTTGAAAAAGAACCAGTGCTTTAGATATTTTAAGTGATTTACAAGGGAGAAGAGATAACATATGGTACCTGTGTAAAAAAAAAGTCACTTGATATGGAGATTCTAATTATATAAAATATATGTACTTCTTTGAACTTTAGTGGATAGTTGTCTCATTGGCAATCACACCACATCTCCTTATTTTTATATAAACATATGAAATTTGGTATGTTTTTTCTAGGTAAAGGATGTGTATTCAGTTTTGATCCTGTAGGATCTTATGAAAGGGAAACCTACAGAGCAGGAGGATCAGCAAGTGCTATGTTACAACCTTTACTAGATAACCAGGTTAGGATGACAAAATAAGAAGACTACTACAAAAAGTTTTTGATAATATTTAATTATAGACATATCAAATCAAATCCTGAGAATCAAATAACTTACCAATTTTTATAAACTAATAATTAGAAATCAAATTATATACCTTACATGTCATATACTGTAAATTCAGAAATTATTGCATGCATTTATTATTGCGATTTTGTCATTTTAGACTAAAATGCGATTTTAATTTTTGCGATATTGAGAAAAATCCTGTTTAATTCATATAAAAAATTTCAAAATGCGAGTTTAAATTATTGCGATTATAACCCTGTCGCATTTTTCGCAATAATAAAAACATCGCAATAATTTCTGAATTTACAGTACATGAATATTAAGTAATAGAATCAAATTATGCATATTATTAGTTCAGTCTGAGAGAAGTCAAATATCATACAATGATAGAGAAAGAGTAACGTATGATGAGGCATTATTTTTGGTTCACATTGTTAAAATATTTCAGTAATCATTCTTTATGTATATAAATATCTATCATCAAACAGGAACTTTTTGCCTTTATCCAATCATAATTGAATTCCTGTAGGTTGCACTTTGTAAATACAGCTGTTTCACAACTCTTTGGGGAGATATTTTAATATTTATAGATATTTTGTTTTGTTTACCTAAATAACCTAATAACCTAATGGTTCCTAGATATGATCTCTATATGTTTTCATCTAAAGAGACACAACTTGGGAATTTTACCTGTATAATAACACATGGATAGCGTCCAAACTAAATTCTGAGGAAGACCCAATGTGAGGGAGGGGTAGTACAAAATTTTAGTATAACTATAAGTTTAAACTCAAGTTTGAGGCATATAAATGTTGAAAATATGCCGCATAGCCCTATGTTTTGACCTTTGAAAAAAATAAAAAGTGCATATAAACTTTACATTCTACGATATAACTTTTTTTACAAAACTTTAAAAAGTGGCACAGTTTTAACTGTAAAAGGATTTCCTATGGAAAATTGTATTGTCTATATTTACAGAAGTGCATTCAATATTGGGTGAAAAAAAGAGAACATGTAGAATTTCACCAAATTTGTTTTATCTTCAGAGATTTTAATAAAATCCTAAAGCCCTGTATGCAAAGTAAATTCACAATATATGCATATATGTAATTTATGTTGTTAAGAATTGCTTATATTTACGCTTCCCAGTCATTGAAACTCATAGATCCTTAATGAACTTTGTTGTTGGGGTATTTTTGTCCTGTGGAAAACCCATTTATAAGTAAATCATAACACCTGACTGTACTTTCTTATGATCGAGGCATAAAAAAATGCAAGCAAGAGATACAAAAATACCTCTTTAAAACTGACAGTAGTATGTTTTATCCTAAAAATATACTAAATATTCCATATTGACAGAAACAGCAATATTATTTAGCAAATTTGAGGCCCCTGTGGCAAAAAAACAGAGAAAAATCCCTAACCCCTGGGTCATAAAACACATAAATTAACCTGTAAAAGCTATGCTATTATTATTTTAAAGGTCTATGGTATAGAAAACAATAACCTTGCTTTGAATCAATTGTACATACAATATCTAATAAGGAACTAGCATTAAATGACAACTTTTATTACATACAAAGCCTATTATAAGGGGTTATTGGCATAATTATGATAAAATACTTCTTATTTTTAACCCCTTGCCTAAATAGGATGGGGTTGGAATCAGGGTTTCCCCTGGGTCAATTTCTTTTTTTGCCATCTCTCTTGCCAAAACAATATTTTTTTCGCCACTCTCAATTTTATTTCGCCAACTCACATAAACAGGTTTTCCTTCTTGCTAACAAAAAAAAAAATTAGTTTGCAGCATTGCTGTCTCATTTAATATAATTCTATATATCTATTTCAGATCCGACATTGTAATAAATGACAATTAGAAAAAAAAATCTTAAACTTTTTTTAACAATACTGTTAGATTTGATTTCTGGGAACACAGGGTTCATCTTCAATCATTTTATTGGATATTTCCTGTCTAGATAGTAAATGGACAAAGAATAATATCAGAGATGTTTCTTACTTTTGAACCCTTTCTTTAAGGTGGTATGTAACACTACAGGGAGATAACTCTGTAAAAATCAGCTGAATGTTTTTATCACATTCTATTGTTAAGGTAATATTAAGCTTCTCAATGATCAAAATTAATGTTTGTCAAACTGCAATATATCCAATGTAATTTTTCCGATAAAGTGTGTGGTTCAAGTTTTTTGAAATTTTTATATTTTTGTCAAAGGGTCAAAGTTAATATTTTGTCAAAATTTTATGAAAATTAAACGAGCTAAATTAATTTTAGTCAAGGTGTTAGGTACCACCTTTAAACAATGGTTTTATTTTCAGAATCATCATTTAAAGTAAAAGTCAAGAAGTAAATTATGTTTAAAACAGGTGCGCCGCTAAAATGACTAGGAAGTACTTCAAAACAATTATTTTTATCAAAGTTATAGAAACAATCTTTTAGGTGACATGTGACGCCGTTTTACCACATATTTTCATTAAACAATACAATTAATACATTATTTTATTAGTCCATTGTTATTAATTGCAATCAGCTGGTTATTGATTTTTCTGATAGAATTGATACGCATGACAAGTTCAAAGGTGAAATCCGAGTATTGTCTGATCAGGAAAAAGTCAAAGGAACATGGAACAAATAAACAAGATGGATGTATTCAAACCTCAATAATTTCTTTTGCTATTCATGATTTTTAACCACCACAATAATATTTTTTCGCAAAATGCGAAAATGGCGACCAGCGGCAACCCTGGCTGGAATTATAGCATTTCTTTAATCATAATAACAAATAATAGTTGGTCAGTTTATGCATTATGTTTAGTATTGAAGGACCACACTAAATTTAGGTGACAATGACCTTTTTTCAAATGTTTGGCTTTGTTCAAGTTTTGCGTTAAGCAAATTTGTACAAATCAGAGAGGAATGATGTTTTGCAGGTTGATGCCTCATGTTTTGCGACTAAGTTCTATACTAAAATTAAGTGACCATGACTTCATTTAATGGATGAATGGTTATGTTTATGTTTTTCATTAAGGTCCAGATCCAATCAAATACAAATCATAGTGGAGTTATCGTTTGTCAGTTGATGCATTATTTTTGGAAACTGAAGATCTTGCTTAAGTTCAATGACCTTCAAGTTCAAAAATGATTAAACTTTTTAAATGAGGAGGGGATAAGCTGTTTTTACGATGGCTCCATTTCTTTATTGTTCTGAAAATGTTATATTATATACATGTATTAATCTGGAATCAAATTTTCTTTCACATTTCTACAATGTATCACACATGACTGATATGACCTATAATTGTTTACTTTTTACACATTGTGACTTAGATGGAGAGTTGTCTCATTGGCACTCATACTACATCTTCTTATTTCTATGACATAAGATGCTTGATTTTGATAATTGTATGCAATTTTGTACTTTTAGATTGGTTTTAAGAATCAACAGGGAGTAACCAAAACACCTCTGTCACAAGAGAAAGCTGTCAAACTAGTTAAAGATGTGTTTATATCAGCTGCAGAAAGAGACATATACACTGGTGATGCTATTGTTTTAAACCTAATTACAAAAGATGGAGTTAAAGTGGAAACTTTCCCTCTGCGTAGGGATTAACTTCTAGTATCTCATTGACTTAGTGCTTTGTTTGTAAAATCTCCATTATATTACACTGTGACAAGTTCATAATTAAATATCATAAAACATGGTTTTGTGTTGATGTCTGTCATTCTATTCCTGTATTTTGCATATGTTTCAAATTGCCCAATATCAACATGCAATTGCTAATTTTTTCAAAATTAATTTCTTGTTCCCATTATTCTAATAAAACATACAAAGGATAGCAAGTTATTACAATAATATTACACAAAACAACACAGCACACCTGCCACAAACACCAGACTCCTCCTAAAATAGACTTACAAACAAGAACAGCACAAAGTCAAGATAGCTGGACTTGATACAGACTCAAAATGTGGTGGGGTTAAACCCGTTTTAAGTGAGCACAGACAAAACTATATGATGTGATTTATTAACTGTTGATTGGTACAAAATACCAGAAGAAAAATGCGATAGAAATGTGTAAAGGGCAGATGGATTGACAGGTTAACCAGTAATACCCCTCTCCTTTGGAACATAAAAACAGTATTAAAAATCTATATTGTATTTAAATTTCACAAAATTGATTAAAACAGTTGCACATGGATCATCAATGATTTCCCTATTTAGGTGAAAACTGAAAGGAGAGGATATGACGAAATATGAACTTTTAGATTTTCATTTGTATCTATTATAAAATTGAGATAATACAAAACTTTAAGCAGGTAGCTATAGTTTAAAATCCATGATGTCACAGGAAAGTCAACATTGAGCATTTTGTGAAAATATGTACATAAATGTTTGTTGATTTTCAAACTATTTGGACCTGCAAAAAATATAGGGAATCTGAAAACCAACTTCAAATTGTACCATAGTGCTCATTTATATGGATGCCTCTCTTTATAAATATCAGGTATTTACTGTGTCCTTATTTTGTTGGAAATATTTGCCATTGCACATTAAGCAAACAACAATCAATCAATAAGCCTGAAAATTTTGAAGAATATTCATGATATTTGAAAGACCTACATAAAGCTAATGGTGGGAGATTTGACTTCACTATCAGGAGACTGGTCAACAGAGGGATATTTTCAAATTAAAAATAATGGAGGCTACCACCTTTTTTTATACGACCGCAAAAAAATTTTGCGGTCGTATATTGGTATGACGTTGGCGTCGTCGTCGTCCGAATACACATTGGTTTTCGCACTCTAACTTTAGTTTAAGTGAATGGATCTCTATGAAATTTTACCATAAGGTTCAATACCACAAAAGGAAGGTGGGGGTATGGTACCAACAGTTACGGAATTAGGGGCCAAAAAGGGGCCAAAAATAAGCATTTTTGTAACTTCCAGACATAACTTGTGTGTTAGTGTATGGATCTCTCTGACATTGTACCACAAGGTTCAATATCACAAAGGGAATGCTGGGATTGATTTTGGGGGTATTTGCCTCCAAATTTTAGGAATTAGGGGCCAAAAAGGGGCAAAAAACAAGAATTTTTCTAGTTTCATGACAATAACTTGTGTGTAAGTGTATGGATCTCTCTGACATTGTACCACAAGGTTCCATATCACAAAGGGAATGCTGGGATTGATTTTGGGGGTAATTGCCTCCAAATTTTAGGAATTGGGGGCCAAAAAGGGGCAAAAAACAAGCATTTTTCTAGTTTCATGACAATAACTTGTGTGTAAGTGTATGGATCTTTATGAAATTGTACTACAAGGTTCCATATCACAAAGGGAAAGCTGGAATTGAGTTTAGGGGTAATTGCCAAAAACGTTGAGGAATAAGGGGCCAAAAGGGGGAAAAAAAAACAAGCATTTTTCTAGTTTCCAGAAAATAACTTGTGTTCAAGTGTATGGGTCTCTCTGAAATTGTACTGCAAGGTACCATACCACAAAGGGAAGGCTGGGATTAATTTTGGGGGTAATTGCCTCAAAATTTTAGGAATTAGGGGCCATAAAGGGGCAAAAAAACAAGCATTTTTCTAGTTTCAGGACAATAACTTGTGTGTAAGTGTATGGATCTTTATGAAATTGTACTACAAGGTTCCATATCACAAAGGGAAAGCTGGGTTTGAGTTTGGGGGTAATTGCCCTAAACGTTTAGGAATTTGGGGCCAAAAAGGGGCCAAAAAACAAGCATTTTTCTAGTTTCCAGACAATAACTTGTGTTCAAGTGTATGGATCTCTCTGAAATTGTACTGCAAGGTACCATACCACAAAGGGAAGGCTGGGATTGAGTTTTTGGGGGGGATTTTTTTTTCCTTTTTTTTTTTAATTTTCCATTTTAAATTGGTTATTTCTGATTTATATATAAAAGCAAATAATAATGATATGGTTTGAATAGGTAAATTAAAAAAATTTAAGTTCTTAGACCACATTCATTCTGTGTCAGAAACCTATTTTGTGTCAAATATTTAATTACAATCCAAATTCAGTGCTGTATCAAGCTTGAATGTTGTGTCCATACTTGCCCCAACTGTTCAGGGTTCGACCTCTGCGGTCGTATCAAACTGCGCCCCAGCGGAGCATTTTATTAAGACTTGACATTCCAAGCTACTTGTGTTTCATTGATGTTGTTTACATCAAAGTTTATATAAACAGCCTCAGTGGTTGTGTGATTGCCTCAAGTGCAAAGGGTTTTGGGTTCCTACCCTGGCCAGGTCAAAATAAAATTATTTGCAGCTTTTCCACTTATCATGCTTTCAGAAGACTTGTTGGCACAAATTCAGTATAAAGTGTCCCGGTAGAAAATATGACATGTTTGCCCTTTGGATTGTTACCTTGTGAAGTGTTGTTCTTGTACAAAGCAGGGTTTATATGATATGACATATTCATATCAAATTACCATGTTCTAGTCCTGATATATTTTCCACTGGACTTAATATCAAATTTCACATCTTGCAGTTGTTACTGTAAAATGTTTTGTCTTGTTAACATTTACAAAGTTATCCATACATAATCGCCATTATGTAGGTGGTATTTTGTTAACCTGTTGCAGTCACTAGTGGATGACATTTAAAAATGAATAAACGACTGAAGTACATATGTCAACGAGATATCAACCCAAATACACTATAGAAGTCGACATACAGTCTTCAACAAGAGATGAGTGTATACATATATACAATATATCAAGTAGAATGGTAGGCATGATGTATTTCCTTGACAATCAAAAGGTTGGTAACAAAATTAAATAATTATATAAATTATACTCAATAACAGGGACTATGTCTCTGACAGTAAGTATAAAAATATGTGATCAATGACGAATATTACAGTAGCTTAGAAAATATAACATCAAATGTATTCAAAAGTGTATCATTTATAAAACATAATTTTCTATACAAACAATTATTCATGCATTAGCACTAAATTATTTTAGAGATGCAAAATTTAAAGTTCGTTTACAGGACACACTTAACAGTCAAAAGATTTTTTATGACTTATGACGAGTATTTATTTTCCTGAATAACTTGTAAACTATTAAAACGTCAAAAAAAATACAGTATATGAGTTTAAACAACTACAATTTCAAAGATTTTATTTTTTGTCTAAATTCAGCGACAGTGTCTTTTCCTCTAATGAGATCTGCAGCTTTTTCTCCTATCATTATGCAAGGTGCATTTGTATTACCAGATAATTGACGTCTTACAACGGAACAATCAGCGACTCGAAGTCCTTTTATGCCTCTAACTCTAAAATGGAACAATAGAAAATAAAAATCATAACTTCCTTACAAGTAATACTGATATGATCTTCTGTTGTGCTAGATGTCATCAATAAACGAAACAGCTGATATTGCATCAAAATAAGAAATTGCTGGAGGATTACGACGAAAATACTAAATTATATCGATATCGCTTTATTTTCTGCAAATCATAAATTTATCATGCTTTCAGAAGACTTGTTGGCTCAAATTCAGTATAAAGTGTCCCGGTAGAAGTTGTACCCCCCCCCCCCCGCCCCAACCTAAAATCCGCCCCTGATATATACCAAATCTTGACACCCAATGTCTATATTTTAAGTGTTTTCTTTCTATTGTATATCTACTATCTTATTGAAACATTTATCATCGGTTATATATATTTATGCAAAAAAAAAGTCTTCACCTTAACTCTGTGTCAACAACAGATGTCTTGTCGTTGAGTCCACCCATTCTACACGTGGATACTGGATGGTAAACAGATGCAGCAAAATGACGTATCATACATTCCCAATATGTATCACTGTCAAATATATCTTTGTCACATATCCCGTCAATATCAAATGGGTTCAATGTTGCACCAATTTCTTTCATTGCTTGGGTAGATGCAATTTGTTGTGATTTTTTAATAGCTGAAAAAGCATATAATTCATTGCATAATTTTAGAAACATCGTATAGTTCATCTACTACTAGCCTTTGAACACTGAGGTTGTCACTTGAAACCTTTTAAAAGACTCCAATCTTAATTAACCAGGATTGCAAGTTTTTCTGCCGAAAGACGGCGGTTCTCTTCGGGCACCCTGGCTCCCTCCACCAATATAAACTAGACTCTACGAAATAGCCGATCGTGCTGAAAGTGGCTTGACAGTTCTATTTTGATATACGTTAGTGTTAATTGCAAGAATGTATTAATCCCTATAAAATGTTTTCATAGTTTGTCATATCTTGGCCTTTTCGACCTTGACATAAAAGTACAGAAACTTGAAAACTGTTGAAGGCCACTCTTTGACCTCTAGACTAGATGTCTTTTGGGATTTTGCGTTGTAAGTTTGCTATTTTTATTGATGCACATCCGAAATCTCCTTTTATTCGTGTTTTCCGAATTATGCGGCATCACGAGTTTGACAAAAGATCACCAAGACCGTCAAATTACCAGCGCCTGGAAGTTGACATAGAAATGAAGTTATTGGAGATATAAATTTGTGTCTTTTATCCTAAGTAGTATTTTTTTGTGCTTCGTGCAAATCTAATGAGTCAAGCAAGCCATTTCCAACTAATTTTTACGGTTCGCGCTGTTACACCACTGTCTCAGGTTGGTGACAAGAAGTTTAACCCCACCCACATTTGTATGTGCCTGTCTCAAGTCAGGAGCCTGTAACTCAGTGGTTGTTGTTGGT